GGTCAAAGCATGTGAGCATGAATTGTCAAATTGCATGTCTACTTATCCTGGCTATTATTGTCTTTGAGAAAGGTGTCTTTACACCATGAAATTAATTTTTTTAGGATAAAGTAATGTGAAGTTATCTTTGTGATCTCTCTAAGTTTTGAAATGTGTTTTTAGCTTGTGCATGGTTGAGGACTTTATATGATTATATCTGACTGTTCATCTGCGGCATGAAATTGTTGGTGTTGTGACAAAGTTGGGAAAGCCGTGATGAAATTCAAAGTGGACAACAAGGTTGGTGTCGGTGTCATGGTTAGCTCTGCAAGAATGCGACTGCTGCAAGCAGGATTTAGAGAATTACTGCCCTCAGATGATGTTAACCTATAACTCCATTAATCATGATGGAACGAAAATTATGGAGGTTATTCTGATATGATCGTTGTTGATCAGCACTATGTGCTCCACTTTCCTGACAACATGCCCCTTGATGCGGGTGCTCCACTGTTGTGTGGCGGGGATAACAGTATACAGCCCATGATGTATTATGGAATGCTGAGGCTGGGAAGCATTTGGGTGTAGCAGGCCTTGGTGACTTGGGCATGTTGCTGTGAAATTGGTAAGGCCATGGGGTTGAAAGTCACCGTCATCAGTACCTCCCCAAAGAAGAGCGAAGCATCTAGTCTTGGAGCCGATTCATTCCTTGTTAGCACTGATCCTGCAAAACTTAAGGTAACTAAGGTTGGTACTTTTTGATTTTGACTGATTAATGATTTGATTACTAAAATAAAGTTATCTTTTTGCTTAACTTCCCAATATAATTGATTTTTGGCCTAAGGAGGGTCTCAAAACTGAACTTATCTTTTTGTTGTTTATGACTATGGTAATTAAAATAAGCTGTTGATAGATGCTTATCCTGTAGTTTGCAAACTGATGTTGTCGTAAATATCAGTCTCCAAACAAACCACGACACACCCCCCCCCCCCCCCCCCCCCCCCCCCCCCCGGCGAAATCAGTTTTATGATATATGGTTGTTAATGAATCACTGATAGTTTGTGTTTTCCGTCATGCAGGCAGCCATGGCCACCATGATTACATCATTGACACCGTTTCTGCAGTTCATCCCCTGCTTCCGCTACTCAGTCTTTTGAAGTTGAACGGAAAACTGATCACCGTGGGCTTGCTCAGAAAACCTCTCGAGCTGCCTATTTTTCCTTTAGTCTTGGGTAATTCATATATCCGAAGCACCCACCCTAAGTACCTAAATTATCATCTCTAAATATTGATCCTTCTTTCAAATCTCATGCCTACTGATCCTAGCTTTAGATAACTGTAATTTGACATATTCTCTGCTTCAAAGAAGTATACGTGCAAAACTTTAGACAGATTACATCTCTTATCTACATACTTGCTGAATTCATAAAATTGTATAATGTCATGCTACAGGGCGGAGGCTTGTTGGGGAAGTGACATAGGGGATCAAGGAGACGCAGGAAATGCTTGACTTTTGCGCCAAGCCAATATTACTGCGGATATTGAGCTGATCAAGATGGACCAAATCAAACAGCGCCATGGAAGGCTGGCAAATCATGATCAGGTATGTATTTGTGATCGATGTGGAACCCCAAGTTGTAGGTTGTACAATGCATACCCTGCTACGCTCTTTTATCCCGCGCCTAGATATATATTAGAATAAGTTCAGTTTTATGATTTGCTATATGTTATGGAAGTGGATGAACAGAAAAGATAATTTTTCTCCGTGGACTTCATTGGCCCTCCGTGTTGGTCTTGAGAGTACAATGTTGTTACCTAGTTGCCTTTTGTTCTATGGCATCTTGTTTCGGTATATGCTTTTTTTTCAAAGTCCTAAGCTTCTCTTGGATCTTAAACTTGAATCCTCATACAAGGGTTCTATTCAATCTAAATTATTCTTCGAAGCTATGATATATAACCCCATCAAGTTATTCTGTGTCATTTATGCTTTCTTCAGTTCAACTTGAACCTTCCCTTATCTCCATTATTTTTATGGAAATTACACCAGTTTCATTCCCTCCTATCTTGATATTTATTCTTATGAAAATTTATTTTTATTGATCATTATTATGAGTAATTGTAAGGATGGACAAACCTATGAAAGAGACTTCAATTATCCACATAATCTATACCACAGAATTTATAAATGATGAAGTTCAGTCTAATCATGGTGGAAGAAAGATTTCTTTTATAACCATAAGTTTCTATGGTTAGCTTATTAGCATTTTTTTAAACCCAACTTGGGTTAAACCCGTCAGTTGTCAGGTCTTAGGTTGATTGGTTTGATCGCCGTTTACCGTTTCGACTGGTAGTCAAAACGGGTGACAAAAATAAAATTTGTAAATACACCCCAAAAAATATGTAAGTCTCTATAGGTTTGAAATTTAGCCCTAAAATTATGTATCTCTTAGGTTTGAAATTTAGCAAACACACCCTAAATACAAATCAACGGTTAACTGGTTGGTGGCGGCGACACTCCAAATACAATCACAATCTCTTGGCCCTTCAAGAAAATCAACCCAATCTGGCCGAAAAACTCCCTATGCCTCTTGACCAAAACCCACCTCACCCCCACCCTTGTTAGCCTCGCTAATCGCTAGCAAAAGTTGACTGTCACTGCTGTCTTTTTTTTTTTTTTTTTTTTTTTTTTTTTTTTTTTGATTTTTATCGATTCACTCATACGGAAATTAACTCCGTTGCCACCATGACACTCATCAGCACTTTCTCTTCAAAATCCATAACATTCCGGCCTTCAATTGTTCGTTGGTCATCATCCTAATTTTTAGGGTTTTTGATGAATAGTGAAACAGGTAATCCGACCTCGTGAAAGCCCTGGGTCTTGGTTGTTGTTATTGTTGTTATTATATGGGGCATTTTTGTCCAAATAATTCACTCATGAGGTTAAAGAAGTCATTAAACAAGTTGGGTTAATTGTTATTTAACATCAAAAGGAGGGCATTTGTGTCCGAATTTTTATTAAGCAAGGGTAAAATTGGAACAAAAATAAGATTATCGTGGTAATCTCAAAATACCATATTTTGAGTTAGTAATCACATAACCCCCTATGGGTACGTTTGGATTATATAATGTTTTATTATAAGGGGATGTTATATTAATAGAAAGATATATCACTTTGAAAATTACTAGGAATGTTTAGGAACATGTGTTTGGTTGGTTGGAATAAATTAGTAAGTATGTTATATTTATATGTTTGGTTGGGAGGATAAATGAGTGGATATGATGTATAGATTACTAAATTACCTTCATTTTTAAATATTAATATAATATTATTTTTATTATTATTTTTTGAATAATTTCTTTTAACTCCCTACATTTGAAATTTTGCTAAAACACCTTAGCAATATAAAATTTTAATTTGTAGCAAAATCACCCCCACCCACCCAAGCCACTGCCAGCAACCAGCCACCACTGTCAGTCGCTGCCGACAGTCGACAAAATGGCTCATGATCAACCGTATATGGTCGGCCGTGCACCGGCAAAGCCATTTCCAGTCATGGATTATAGATTTATGATTGTTTCACGGCCAAAGATGTGGCCATGAAGTGACCATAGATTTGGCTGTGAAAATGCCAGATCTTTATAGAAATGGCCTTATTGGTGCATGACCGGTCAGATCCCGCTGGTCGTGCGTCACGGCAGTGGTGGTCGGTGGTGGTCTTGCGTGGCTGAAGATACTTTGTTAACTTTTAATTAAATTTTTTTGTGGCTGAGATGTTTTAGCTAATTTCTTAAAGGTAGGAGGGTTGGGTTAATTGTTATTTAATAGACATTTAAGGGCAATTATGTCTGAAATGATATTTAATTAAGGATAAAATAGGTATAAAAATCAGATAACCTTGGTAATCTTTTAATTACAGCCCCTGGGGAGAATATTTGATTATCCCCTATATTATTAACAGTAAACACTATTTGCAATAAAAGATACTCGTAATATTTTATTACTTGCAAACCAAATAACGAAATCTTGTAAAATAATTGAAGATTATCTGTTTGCAATAAAAGATACTCGTAATATTAAAAAAAATTTACTTGAAGTTTTTATATACAATTGACTATTAAAAACTTGATTGGTTCATTCGTGGGAGCAAGAGAAAGTGCCAAATGGTTATTGATTAATGAGGTAATTAGACTCATTATTAAAAGGATCTTTTGACATCTGGCATGAATCAAGATGATGAAAGCATGGTCAGAATAGTAACAACAGATGCACATATGGCTTTTCCAGCCTAAGGGATTTATATAAAGTAATCTCAATAGATTAATTTGCTTGATGAATTCTTCTAAATCTTAAATTACATATTTAAATCATGGTTTTTTATATAATTTATGAGAATCGGGATTTTTGTAGAGAAAAACGTATAGAAAAGGGTTTTGTTCTATGAAAAAAAGAAGTAAAAATTGAAATTTTAGATGTCTTATAATTGGTTGGTTATATTTTACGACAGAGAATATTTTTTTTTTTCTTGTTAAGACATATTTTTCATACAAAAATAATCAGGAGGAAGTCTTCTGTGCAGTATCATACAATTAGGTTTTGCTTTCTTATTCGTGGATTGACTGACAGCCAAGACGCAAAATAATATAGTTTTCATTTACTAAAGGAGTAGACTAATTGCTTATAAATTTGTTAAACTCAAATAGACTTTTGCACACTTTTTCTATATATACGCACCAATCTCAACTCTCAAAGAATCGGAAACCGATTTTCATGTGATTCATCATGCAAGAATCAACCTAACTTCCTGAGCTATTCTTCTTCTTCTTCTTTCTTCTTTTAAACTGCTAGATGTCTCATTCTCAGCTAAGCTAGATTGATCACGGGGTTCCACTCACATATTCCAAATTCTTGTTCTACTTAATTTACACGCACCATCAATATCTGCATATATTTATATGCTATAACTTTACATATATTCTACTCTAACCTTTTATCTCCCATATATTCTTGTCTCATCTCGGCCAAAAAGGGCATCGATATCTATCGGGGCACTTGCGTGCTTGATCTCTATTTTTTAGCTCATCAATATGGCAGACCAAGCCTCATTTGCTTCGGGAGCTATTGATCCCACCGAGGGTTTTGTCTCCCTTAAATTAAAACCCTCAGATTTTTCTGTACAGAGGCCGTATGATGTGCCACAAGATGAGCGATACAGCTTCCAAAATGGGATTCACAAACTGTGGGTATACTCCACAGACAAGCCTCACTCTCCTACCAGCAAAACTAAGCCACGAACTGAGATCCGTATACTAGTAAGCAAAAGCATATAAAAAACTTATAGTTAATTTAACTTCTTGAAAATTTGATTCCTGTTAATTTAACTTGCTGTATTTTAAGCTTCTTAATTTTACATTGTTTTATATTATCTTAAAATTAGATTTTTGTATTTTTTGAGTTGTTGGTTTTCTATTTATTTATTAGTTGATTTAGAGTTGAATATAGACAAAATTATCATTCTTTTTAATCTAAACCCTCTCTTATTAGATAGATTTCTCGTAGTAGAAAAGAAATTAATGATGCTGAATTGATAATACTGTATATAATAGTATATATTTGTTTAGATAGTAAATGACATTTATATCTTTTATGATTCTTCAATATTGGTCTATCTTCAACTTTCAGGGACATGACTATTCATCTGGGGTATGGCAATTTGAAGGTTACGGCTACGTCCCAGCTGGAACATCAGGCGTCTCTCTCATGCAAATATTTGGAGCTAGCCAACATGCCACAACCCTAATGGTTAGGGTTTACGACGGTTCACTCACATACTACAGGGACCCAGTCCTGGTCCGAAACATCTACAACAAGTGGTTCAGGCTAAATGTGATTCATGATGTGGGCAAATCTGTTAAGGTTTATATTGATGGAATTCTCAAGTACGAAGGTCCTGATCGTGGCGGAAAATCTCATTACTTCAAATTTGGGGTTTATGCTCAAGAGGATGATTCTCACTGTATGGAATCCCGTTGGAAGGACATCAAAGTTCTCAAAAAACGTAATTGATCTTTGTAATTTCTTCTGTTACTGTATTTGGCACATATATTAATATCATGATTTGCCGAAATAAAGTTTATATAAGCTATAAGATATATAATATTAAATTGATAACATGATAGGATCCTGCTTGTGATTTTGCATAGTCATAAATCTTCAAGTGATTAAATTAAAATCTCCTCAGTCGCCTTGTAATTAGATCTGTTAGAACCTGAATCTAAACAGACCAATACGCAACTCAATCCAGCACAAACAAGATTCAAAGAAACACACACACAAACAAGACAAGATTTACTGTGGTTCACCTATCCAATAACGGATAGATTACATCCACGTTGAGCTCCGAAATATGGAGACTCACTGCACTAGAATTATCCAACTATTACATCAAGAATTACACACTTAATCAGCCAAATCAAAGCAACAATTTAACCTAGACTTAATCACTCAATAACTCTCTATAATCTGCAAGAAATCAAAGACTTAACCTAGCCTCAAGAAGGAAACGCAACCCTCTCACAAATCTGCCCAGATTACAACTAGAAAGACCTAACAAAAAAGCCCAAAATCAATTGCTCATTCAACTCGCAAGAACCCTAACATTTCAGACTAAAAAAAACCCGATGCATGTACACTGATTTTTGCCCTCTTTTATATCAAAGAATATCAGCAAATATGGGCCATTGGATCTGTCTTGATCTAATGTGCAAGATTCATTCACTCAACTTAAATGGAACGACATAGTTTTGGCTACATAAAACTTTCAATCTCCACCTTGAAGCTAACATTCTGCATTCCTTTCTTCTGCTGGACCTTCTTCAGTGCAGTAAGTCATTTCCATAATTCTTCTTAGCTCTAGAAAATATCTAACTGATGTGAAGTAAGTTCAAGCAGTTCTTGAACTTGGCTGTGGTCACCACTTTGGCTCCCATGTTTGCTGGATTCTCTTCAGTAGATACCTTTAGGAGATTAATTCTTTCCTTTCCAATCAGGTCTCTGATGAAGTGATGCCTGACATCCCACATGTTTAGTTCTTTCGTGGTACACTGAATTCTTACTCAGATGGATGGCACTCTGACTGTTTGAGTAAACTGTTGCTGTGCCATTCAACAAATCTGCTTCTTTCAGAATTCCCTGTAACCAAGTTGCTTCCTTGAATGCATCTGAAACTGCTACGTACTCTGCTTCAGTAGTTGAAAGTGCAACCAGTGGTTGCAACTGTGCTTTCTAGCTAACACAGTTGCCTCCCAATGTAAAGTAATATGCAGTAGTGGACTTCTTGGAGTCTTGATCACCTGCAAAATCTGCATCTATATACCCAACCAGATCAAGTGATGCATATCTTTTACAGAAAACTAAACCAATCTGAACAGTGCAATTAATGTATCTCAACAACCATTTTAAAGCATTCCAATGTTCATTTTCAGGATTTGACATAAATCTACTCAATAGTGATATTGCATAAGCTAAATCTGGTCTGGTGCTTATCATAGCATACATCACAAACCCTATGGCATTCGAATAAGGAACATTTTCCATTTTCAGCATATCAGATTATGTTTTTGGGGACTGTAACTTACTAACTATAAAATGACTTGCAAGAGGCATTGTTACAATTTTGAAGTTAGCCATGCCAAATTTTGAAACTAGTTTCTGTAAGTATGAGGATTGATGAAGTTTAAGGGTATTTGCACTTCTATTTCTATCAATCATCATTCCTAGGATTTTCGTTGCTCTCCCTAAGTCCTTCATGTCAAATTTAGTATTTAATTTGGCCTTTAATGCATTAATCTGAGACATGAACTTACTAATTATAACATGTTGTCTATGTATAACAGAAGATATATTGGCATGTTATTGATACAAGCAAAATAGAAACAATTGTCATACATGCTTCTAGTGAATCCACTTCCTACTATGAATGCATCAAACCTCTTACACCACTGCCTAGGGGACTGTTTAAGTCCATACAGAGATTTATTCAGTAAGCATACATAATCAGGCAGTTTTTATATCCTTAAAACCGATGGGTTGACTCATGAATATTTTTTCATCTAACTCACCATACAGAAAAGCAGTTTTAACATCCAATTGTTCTATCTCTAAGTCATATTTTACAACAATTGCTAGCATGAGTCTAATCGTTTTAAATTTAACTACTGGTGAAAAAATTTCAATGAAATCAATACCTGCCCTCTGAGTGTAGCCCTTAGTCACTAACCTGGCTTTAAATCTTGGTGGATCAGATTTATCTATCCCTTCTTTCAGTTTGTAAAGCCACTTGCATTCCACCAACTTCTGATTTTTTGGCTTTGGGACAAGTGTCCAGGTGTTGTTCAAGTGCAGTGATTCCATCTCCTCTTCCATAGCAACCACCCATTCTTTACTATCCCTTGATCTCATTGCCTCAGCATAAGTGTCAGGTTCTGATCGATGTACCGTTGAACCAGCCAAGAGTGCTGTGTAAATCAGGTCAGCATAGTTGTACCTTGTAGGAGGTCTAATTTCCCTCCTGACTTTGTCTCTGGCTAACTGATATTGAGCCAGATCACCATGCTGATCCACTTCAGCATTTTTAGAAAGGTCTTCTTCATCCTCCTACTCTTGGGTTTGCTGTGGCTGATCTTCAAGTAGACCAGTCTCATCTGTTTGAATTTGTTGGTTAGGACTAGTTATAGGCTCCACCTCAAACTAAGTTATCCCAGTTTGTCCAGAATTTTTAGAAACTTCTTGTGAGCTACCTGTATTGTCAGTACCAGATTTGCAAGGAAAACAACTTCATTGAAAATCACATCTCAACTAACAATTACTCTAACCCCTGGGGTAGCCCTTTCCCATAGCCTATAACCCTAGGTTCCCTCTTGATACCCTAGAAATACGCACTTAAGAGATCTTGGCTCTAACTTTCCATCTCGGGTATGTGCATATGCAGCACATCCAAATACTCTTAGGTGTTCAAGAGATGGTCTCCTCCCAGACCACCTCTCTTCAGGGCACTTAAAGTCTATGGAGCTTGAAGGACTTCTATTAATTAGATAGGCTGCTATACCTAGTGTTTCCCCCCAAAATGTTTTTGGTAGACCATTCGTGAATAAAAGGCATCTAACCATCTCTAGTAGGGTTTTATTCATTCTCTCAGCAACCCCATTTTGCTGAGGGTCCCCCTAACTGTCTTATGCCTCAAAATTCCCTCTTCTACACAATAAGAGTCAAACTTCAGGTTGAAAATTCCAAATCGTTGTCTATCCTAAGGGTTTTCACCTTTCTATTAACTTGGTTTTCAACCAAGTTTTTCCAGCCTTTAAATTTAGTTAAGGTTTCATCCTTGGACTAAGGAGGTATACCTATACTTTTCTGCTAGCTTGGTTTGAGACAGTGAGAGCTTCTGAAATTTCAATATCAGTACTAGTGCTGGCTAAATTACTCTCTGTACTGTGTTGTTTTTGTTTCTTTATCCAGTCATAACAGTTCTTCTTAATATGGCCTGGTTTATTACAGTTAAAGCACTTTTTGGTTTCTCCCTTAGTCTTATTATTCTTCCATTTCTTCTTAGTTTTAGAGTTCATGTGTTGTTGGAAGTTCTTACTATCATCCCTTCCTAGTTGTATAGAATTTGTCCTACCTTTGACAAACAAATTATTTTCGTTTCTTTTCTGGATTTTCAACTCTAATTCTCTACATTTCAGGCCCGCTATAATCAGGTCAACACTGGGAACTGTCCCAATGTATTGTAAAGCATTTTTCACTACTAAATACTCATCAGACAAGGAATTCAAAAGTATCATTGCTAAACTAGAGTCTCCTAACTCCTGATATGTACCTTTCAACACTAATGTCATCTTAAGAAATTCATCAAGATTTTCTTCCACAGACTTAGTTACATCCATCTTATAAGAGAACAAAGCACCTTTAAGAAATGCTAAATTAGGTGCAGACTGTAAAGAATATAGGGATTCGAGTTTACCCCAAAGTATGAGCGGTGTTTCCATGCCGTCTACCTTCCACAGGACAGCATCGGGCAGGTTCATTATGATCATATTATAGGCCTCCTCGTCAACTTCAGATTTTTTCTTCAATTTCTCCTCAGACCACTTGGTGGTATCTTTTTCCAGAGCAAGCCCTACCTTATTGTGGGAAAGGAGGGCCTTCATCTTCTTTTTCCATGTGTTGAAATCGATCTTCCCATCGTATTGGGAGATCTCCATACGAGAGGCACTCATGATTCTGTAATAGTGACAATAACCCTGGACAACAAACAAGATTTCTCTCATTGACTCGTGTTTTTGACTCAGACTCACGAATTCAATCAAACTCAGAAAGATTTGAAGCCCTAAAGATCTAAAAAAACCTCTGAATCAAAAAACCCCGAAATCCTGACAAACCCTAATTTTTCAATTTTGTCACAAATTAATCGATCTCTAAAGTTTGTGACCTAGACTCACGAATTGACTCAAGACTTAGCAAGATTCGAAGTCTTAATGATCTAGAAACCTATAAATCGAAAAACCCCCAAATTCTGACAAACCCTAAATCTCCAATTTGTCACGAATTAATCGATCTTAAACCTAGATACACTTTAGGACTTTGGCTATGATACCACTGTTATAACCTGAATCTAAACAGATCAATACGCAACTCAATCCAACACAAACAAGATTCAAAGAAACACACACACAAACAAGGCAAGATTTACCGTGGTTCACCTATCCGATAATGGATAGATTACATCCATGTTGAGCTCCGAAATATGGAGACTCACTGCACTAGAATTATCCAACTATTACGCCAAGAATTACACACTTAATCAGCCAAATTAGAGCAACAATTTAACCCAGACTTAATCACTCAACAACTCTCTATAATCTGCAAGAAATCAAAGACCTAACCTAGCCTCAAGAAGGAAACGGAACCCTCTCACAAATCTGCCTAGATTACAACTAGAAAGACCCAACAAAAAAGCCCCAAATCAATTGCTCATCAACTCGCAAGAACCCTAACATTTCAAACTAAAAAACATGATGCATGTACACTGATTTTTGCCCTCTTTTATATCAAAGAATATCAGCAAATATGGGCCATTGGATCTGTCT